GGGTTCGGGTTTAGGGGTTGGGGGTTTAGGGGTTTAGGGTTTAGGGTTTCAAGTAGGGTTGGTAGGATTTCCATCGGGGGTTCTATAAGGGTTCTCTAAGTTTGTCTATAGTGATTTAGATTGTCAGTTGTCAAGTGTTCCTAGATACGAATCTCCATCGAATAGGGTGTTTCGTAATATTTGTTTTCCATGCTAAGATTCGACAAGGGCTTATATATGCGTGTATTTATATACTTGTATAATATGAAAACCTTAAATGCCAAACCCTACACACTAAACCTTTAACTGTGGCACAGTAGTCTTCGGATTTTACAGTATTTAGAGTTCAGGAACCTAAGGTTCGCGGACGGAGCCTTTAGGGCCAGCCTTCGATGCGTGTGAAGGGTGCAGGGTTTAGGGTTGATGATCTGGCTTCGCTTTCTGTCATGTGCATTGCCACTCAGAGGCCGCATTATAGCAAGTCCAAAATCTTTGTATTTGACGGTGTCTTCCCTCGAGCATAATCATATATGTTTTGCAAGTTGAGCCTGTGCCAATAACTTTGCCTTGACTTTCTGACTGAACCTACACTCGTCCCTTCAGCTTGGCATCGTCTTGAAGACAGCTGATGACAGCTTGTGCCTCAACCTGAAGTTAAAGCCCGGCGCGTTTCTTCAAGACGGCCTGGCCCAGAAGGTCTTGTTTTCCATCAAGGGCTCCACTGGAGCAAGATGCTGCCTGCTTTGCAAAATGTCGTTGCCAACAACATCATCGAGCTGGCAGAGGCCAGGCTGGTTTTTGATATCTACAAGGAACGGGGCTTGGAGCTGTCAGATGATGAACGGTGCAAAAGAAGGACACTTTGTCCAGCAAGGACTTGCAGCTCTGGCAGCCAGCAGCTGGCTTGAACTTCCATCCTGCGGCCATGATATTCGATCCGGACCTCTGCAATGGCTGCATAACTGATGCACACATTCCTGGTGAAAGTGATCTTCAACGCAAGCAGGCACCTGATGATGCGAACCGCTGAGGAAGCTGTGGGCCGAGACAGTTACGAGATTGTCTTTGATTATGTGGAGGAGTGGAGGCTTCCCAAGAGCAGGTGCGGAAATCTGTCAGGCTTGTTTCTGCAGAAAAGGAAGAAGGCCAACGACGAAGCTGGTAGCTTCAAGTGTACTGTTTCCGAGGGTTTGTCTTTGTTCACTTTCGATCACGTATAGCCAGCTGTAAGGTTTGTACAACTTCGTCCCTTAACCCTAACCCCCATTCGAATCTACTAGATCCTATGATCCGGTAAGTAGAGAGTTTGGGGTCCGGGGATTAGGATTCCAGGGTTCCGTTTCATTGGCTTCAGTCTTGTAGTGATCCTTTTGGGGGCTCGAGCCCTCAGGATTTAGGATCCCGCGGGCTTGCGGAGGTCTTTGGGTCCAAGTTTTAGGGCTTACAGGTTTAGGGTTTGGATTGTTTGGGGTTTTGTGGTTTCCTGTTGAGAGCTGTTTATAGGTGGGAAACCTTACGATTTTGGAGGCGTTTTGCGGAAAGACGCCGGCAAACACCGTTGCCAAAGGAGCCTGCAAGCTCCCATGGAACATTGCAGCCGCAAAAGGAGCCGAGTCCTCGGCCTCAAGAATCCCGAACAACCTCAAAACATAAGATCCCATACAATCCCAATCCTGAGCTTCGAGACTTGTTGAGATCGCTGTAAAACGGCTAAGACCCCCTCCCTATACCGCAGTACAAAATCCTGCTAACCTGAACGTGTAACCCAACTCCTAGGCCGGGCATCTCGTGGACGCGTTTGAGCAGTACTGCCTCCGCAGGGTCCCGCTTCTTGCACTTGGAGGAGGTCGGATGCGTATTAAAAAACTTTGAGCACCCTGATTGCGGAGTCTTGTAAACACCCCAGCAGTTTAGGAATAACAGACCTTCAAAAAACAGAAATGCTGCTCCAGAGCTGGCTTTCGGGTTCAAAATTCAGGATTCCAACTGGGGCTCTAGGGCTGTAGGGCCGTACGGCTTTGGGCTTTCCGAACGTCATCATGCATGGTTCAGGGTTTGAGGCTTAGGGTGTCTAAGGTTCAGGGCTGTAGGGTGTAAGACAGGATTTCAAGCATTTAGGGTATTTTCAATGCCAACAAGATCGAACCAGAACTGTAAGTTGAGCATTTTGCGAAAAGGCAAAGTTGAAATGGCCCATGGCTGCGGCTATGGAAGGGGTTTAGGGTGTGGGATCTTCAAAGGGACGGTAAGGGCTCGTCTACGCTACAGTGCCACTACGGCCACGGTTACGACAGTTTTTTTCAACCAAGCTTCGTCTGCTCAAAGGAAGCTTCGTGTCGAAAGCAAAGCTTAGTTTGCCTAGAAGCTTCGTTTGCTCAGAGAAAGGCTTTCCGCGAGTTTACGCGTTTAGGCCTGCATGGCTTATGACAATCAAGATCCACCGTGTTCGACTGTTCACTCATTTGCCAAGAACTCAATCGTTGAGGGCTTGCCTGGTGTGTTTTTCGGAGCCCCCTTCCATGCAGAAGCCCAGAGCGCGTCAAATGTGTGAACCGTTAGGCCTTGAACCCGCACCCCGGAAAGACGAATCCGACACCCAAAATTCTGCGCCCTAAATGGGTAGGCCGTGGATTGGGAGATCGATACCGACATTGTCATCACGCCTTCCGACAGGTCTTCGGCCACAGTTTCGTATGCAAGGGCGCTACATTTGGTTGCGAGCACAAAAGCAGTCACTATGCCCTAAACCAAAAGCCCCTTATGCCGTTAACCTTGGCCTTAAAACATTCACCCAACAAGCCCCAACCTTAAATAGCCTGTGTAGGGTGTTAGGAGGGCTTTACAAGGCAGTGAGACGGTTTCAGAAGGTTCTCTGGGTATTTGGTATGGCTTTCTGGACCAACTTCAAGTCTTACCTCCTTCAAACCTTCCTCCCGTTGTTGCAGATCTTCACATCCTTCGTCCTCCCATGCCAGGACCTCTACAACTCAGACCTGGCCTTGCTATGAGGAAGTTTCGGCGGTTAAGCGGACTTATGCATGTCAAGGGGTTCTATAAGGGCTTTACAGGGTATTAGGATCTGAGGTTTAGCATTCGGGGTGTTGGGTTTGCGCTCAGGGTGGAGCCCGAAAGAGCCTGGCATCTCAGTGGCAGTGCGTCTTTCGAGTCCCATGCGCCTGTATGGACAAAGGCCTTATCCCCGCAATCTATACTTCCAATTTGCATACTCGAAAGGTGAAAGCCCTATACATTACGCCTAACCTGCCTAAAGCTCTGATAATTACTCTACAACGCCCATCAAAGCCTTAAACAACCAACAAGAAGCCTTCGTATACCTTTCCAGAGTTCCTGAACAATCGCCATAGACTGCAGCAGTAATGCCAAAGTTTCCGCCAGGGAATGCAACAAAAAGCCTTACCCAAGTCCAAGTAGCACCCCAACTCCTTGAACCCTAAACCCTAAAACCCTAACCCCCAAACCCCAAAGCCCTAAACCCCTAAACCCCAAACCCCTAAACCCCTGTAACCCCTAAACCCCTAAACCCTAAACCCCTAAACCCTAAACCCCAAAACCCCAAAACCCTAAACCCCACGTCCCTTTTGTGGCAGGCACCAAGATGAGGTTCGCAAGGTGGCGGATATCCTGGCAACTGGGCACTGACTTCAGAGCTTCGGTATAGGGAGTTTAGGGTTAAGGGTTTAGGGTTTAGGGTTTAGGGTTTAGGGTTTAGGGTTTAGGGTTTAGGGTTTAGGGTTTAGGGTTTAGGGTTTAGGGTTTAGGGTTCAGGGAGGGAACTGCCCCATAATACCCTGAACCCTAAGCCGGGTTTAGGGTTTAGGGTATTAGGAGGCAGCTCTGGGGATTCTTGGGGTTCGTTAACAGAGTTGTTGGGTAGTTCTCTAAATGAGGGTCCCGTTTTAGGCCCCCCAAAATAGTACAGGACCCCCTACGAAATGAATGCTGAAAGGTCCACTTTAGAGAACTACCCATATACTGTAATAACTGAGGGGTTCCTGATTATAGTTATATACTTTAACCATTTTAGAGTTCCTTGTTATAGCTGTACAGTGCATTATAAGTTTTAATAGTTTAATCATTCTAGCGTTCCTTAAGATAGGTATATACCATACGATAACCTAGAGATCCTAAATTTCTTTGATAGAGTTATATGCTGTAAGATACCCCCCACAAACCCATTCTGGTTACTACTGTATGGCCGCTCTAGTGCATGGGTAGTTCTCTTGACTAGGCTCTATATAATTGGGATCGGGTCTTTGGGTATATTCTGCCACAGTCAGACTAGGGAATAGGAGCTTGGGGTTTAGGGTTTAGGGGGGTAGATTATGGCATAGTTACACTAGGGAACCCCGAGCAGTGGTATCAAGAAGAGGATGGCTGGCAAGCCCTGAATCGAGAAGCCCTGCGGCGATCCAGCCCAAAACAGACCACTAGCCGGTTCAGAACTTGGGGCCTGGGGTCCAGGAACTTCAATGTAGGGTTTAGGGTTATCGACCTGTGGATGTTGCTTTTAGCGTAGCTACTGTTATAGCAAATGTTAGGAGGCTTAGGACTTCACTTATAACTATGCATAACCCTCCCCAGTCTGGTGTCGTCTGGGGTCACATGCCCAGATGTCCAACGGTCTTGGCTCACGAGCATCACATCCCTGAAGCCCCGAACCCTCCTACTAACAGAGGCCAAAGTCCTTATGCCGAGATGACCGCATCCCGATTCCCATCATAGAGTCCACTCCAAAGATCCGATTCTACCTTTTAGGGCCCCTCAATGAATCCTGAAACTTATATATCTTAAGCTTCTTCAAACCACGAAATCCTTAAACCCTTATCCCCTAGACCTCAAAGAAAGCACGGGATGGCAATCAGAGTGCAAGCAGCACTAAGGGTAAGAGTAATAACGTGCCAAGAGCCATGATATGACATTCCGTAATAATCGCAGGAACTATACGATATTCAAGAAAGCAGAAGATGCCCTATACTAAACCCTTCCAGTCTCCCTCTGGAGCAACCTTGTACGAAATCCAAGGCTCAAGCACAAAAAGAAAGCAGAGACTGGGCCCATGCTAAACCCCTTTGTAGCAACCCTGAAGAGGGAACCTTCCACTAAAGCCCCAAGGCCGTAAAGAAACCAGAGGATGGCTGACAAATACTATTCCTAGGAGTCGTGATATCAATAGCCACAAACATCACATAATAACTTCACGGATCTAACCCTCAACCCTAAACCGACACCCAAAACCGTGATTAACCCTAAACCCTAAACCCTAATAAACCCTAAACCCTAAGATATTCGCAGAAACTAGGATGGCGGCTTCACGGTGGAGTTGGACCGGCCCCTGTCCTTCGAGCACTTGGGCATTTGGTACCACCATGAGGAGATCGGGCAGGTTTAGGGCTAAGGGGCTCAGGGTTTAGGGTTCAGGGGCTCAGGGTTTAGGGTCTAGCGGCTCAGGGTTTAGGGTTTAGGGCTTCGGGTTTCAGGGTTTAGGGTTTAGAGTTTAGGGTTAAGGGTTTAGAGTTTAGGGGTTCAGCATTGGAGCATTTGAGGATTTATGGGCTTAGCAAATGGGGTTGGCAGTATCTTATATGAGTTGGGGCTCCAATAGCAATAGTACTAAACCCCAAACCCCAAACCCCAAAACCCCAAACCCTAAACCGTAAACCTCAAACCCTACAATCCAAGCCCTAAACGATGAGACCCGACAGGATGCTTACATTGTTGCAGCGTTCGTGTGCGACGAATGTACCCTCTTTGGGGACGCCAGTACTCCCAAACTGTAAACATTATAGTTTAGGGTTTAGGGTTTCGGGTATAGCCCACAAGGGAAGTCAGTGCCCTCTAGCACCCCTTAACGGTGACCCAATTATGTATGGAACCCTGTAGTACCCCTTAAAGGGACCCAATTATAGAACCCTATGGTTTTGGTTTAAGCCCATCAGGGAAGTCAGTGCCCTATAGTACCCCCCAATTGTAGAGCCCCATAGTACCCGTTCAAGGAACCCGAAAGTACCCCATAAAGGAACCCTACAGTACCCCTTAAAAACGAACCCTGAGGTGCCCCTTCTTAGAGGAACCCAAAACTACCCCTTACAGGAACCCTGTACTACCCCTACAGGAACCCTATAGTACCCCTAAGCCCTAAACCCTAAACCCCCTTAAAAAGGAAGAAAGGAACCCATCAAGGAGCCCTAAACCCTAAACCCTAAACCCTAAACCCTAAACCCTAAACCCTACCCCCTAAAAAGGAAGAAAGGAACCCATCAAGGAGTCCAAAAGGGAAGTCAGGGCTTCACTCGAGGAGATCCCCACTCCAACTGACCTCCGAGCTGCCGTCGGGCGTCTGACCCGCAATGTGAAGGCGCGCACGTAGGGTTTACGGTTTTGGGTTTTGGGGTTTGGGGTTTTGAGTTTTGGGTTTAGGGGCTTTGGTTTTGGGGTTTAGGGTTTAGGGTCATGGACCCTAACAAACCTACCATGTTTTTTGGGGGGGAGGGGGGGGGGGCTATATAAGGTCATCAGATTACGGAACCCTAAAAACGTAGGTTTCTTAGGGTCCAGGTAGGGTTTATGACCTGAACCCACAAGACGCCCCTAGGATCCGCAGACCCGTTTAGGGGTTAAGCTGTGTGATGAAAGGGCAGTGGAGTCTCGGAGAGTGTGTCGTCACTGGGTTTAGGGTTTCGGGTTTAGGTGTTTAGGGTTTAGGGGTTTAGGGCTTATTGTTTAGGTGTTCAGGGTTTAGGGATTGAGGGTTTAGGGGGAATGTACTCGCCTGTCATGAGGTACTTACTTATGGCGTTTTGCTTCGAGGGTCCTGTGCACGTTTTGACAGGATTTCCGAGAAACAAGAGCACAAATTTGCAGGGTAGCGGGCTTGAGGTATCGGGATTGCGGGGTGTCTGTAAGTGTATATATATATATACTATATATATATATGCTATATATATATACTATACTATATATATACACTATATATATATATATACACTATATGTACTATATATACTATATATATATATATATACTGTATATATATATATATATACTGTATATATATATATAGACACTTCATATACTATATATGTACACACTCTCTCTCTATATATATATATATGTACACTATATATAACTACCGTTTATTAACATATATATATATATATATTGTAACATATAATATCTATATATACATAATATATATTTATATAATCTATATATATATATACGCAGTATATATATATATAT